CACCCCCCCACCCCACAAAAAAAAAAAGAAACAAAAAAAAAAGTGAAAAACGAAAAAAAATGTAATAAATATGTTGTTGAACCCTCCCTTATAATTTGACCCTAATTGCTCTCTTAGGCACATGCCTGTGTTTGATAAGAGACCCATTTAATTAAGAGTCCCATTTAACTTTTAAGTAAACCCCGTACCCATTAATTAATCCTATTATCTCCATTCAATCATCTTAATTTGCCGTCATCGCGATTCGTGAGTCCATTTGTTTCAACTTTCTTTAGAAAAATCAGAAGAAGACTTTGGATGATTCTTTAGTTACTTATATTGAGAAAGATGTGTTTGAAACTATTGATAATGAGTTGATTACACAAAGATTCCAAGACATGAAAACTCGTCGAGGACAATTGTAAAATGTCTTTTCTTTTTTATGTTGGAATGAATGGATCTATTTTAGTGGATTTATAAATATTACATTTTATTTATAATTTTTCACCCCCACTACCCTAAGGGTCTTGGCTCTGCAACGGGACCCATGGATTTGGAAACATTGATAATGGTAACTGTAGGAATTGGAAACATTGATAATGATAATTGTAGACAGTCATTGACAATAATGGGGGCTATGTAGGAAAACTATTGAGAAGAGAAAAGGTTAGAAGAATGTTGAGACTTGCAAGGCTTGTAAGACCCTGTAATCTTTAGCTTGTGCTTGAGCCTTTGAGGCAACTTTTAAGCCCACAGAGTTGTATCTTATGAGAGGAAGAAGGAGTTGACAGAAGGTTTACTGCAGAAGGATGTGACTTGTACACATAATTTTCTTCAAAATGGGAAAGGGTAAAAGGAATGGAGTGCAAAGAATAATGAAGAATCAGATGATGAATGAAAGAATTGATTAGGAAAATGGGGGAAAATAGGGGAGAAAGAAGAATAATATGTCATTTAGATTCAAAAAGCTATTTTAACCTAGAACCATGAGCCAAGAAAGATAACAGAAACGATGAAGCATTTTTGTTAATAGTATGTGTCTATGTGATCAAAAGTACTCAAATCACTTGAAGAGCGATATTAGCAAGCAAACATTGAAACCGATCATAGTTGGTCTTGATTTGACAAACCAATGGATGTTAGAGGGAAAATGATGTTCTTGAGGATGCTAGAACCTTTAAGTTGAAGTCTTGGTTTCTTTAGTTCCACACTGAGAAAACAACTGGTGATATTTATTGATAGCTGCGCTTTTATTTAACTCACAGAAAAGAGGTTGGAGGTGAAAGAGTCTGAAGGCTACTTGAATATTTAGGCTGAAGTCAGTCTTGTTTTGGCTCCAGTCTTAGAAAATAGCTTGTAATATTTAGTGATAGGTAGCGCTGCATCTGGGTATTAACATTAGTTTATTCATGATATCTTTTACTACCTTTTTATAGTAAAGTCGTTTTTTGTTATGGCAAGTTAGCACATAATTTCCCATGTTTTCACTATTGGCTTATTGCCATGTTTGTCAATTTTTTAAAAATGATATCTGAAATCAATTGTTATTATCCTATCTTTTTGACGTTTATTTGTTTTTATTTTGCTTCCTTTGTTTGTTATCCAGAAATATCTAACAATTGTTACTCTACATGTTGCCTATTATAACCGGTTCAGGTTCCTTCGGAACCGAAGCCAGTGCCTGTCCTGCCCAAAGCTGATCATCCACAGTCTCCAGAGGTGACACCTGCTAAAGTGGAAGCTTCACCTCCTAAAGTAGAACCCTCACCTCCTAAAGTGGATGCTTCACCTCCTCCTCCAAAGGTTGATTATGCCACTGACCTGTTTAATATGCTTTCCATGGATGGTCCTAGCAGTAATCAGCCTGAATCATCTCCCAGTGACGATAATGCATGGGCTGGATTCCAGGGTAAGTTCCATTGCAGTCTTTATATATTTGGAATGAGCTAGGAAGAACTTTCTTCCTGAACGTTTAATGGATTAATTATGGTATTTGTAGTTCCTCTTATTGTTACTAATCATGGTCCATTAAGAACCTGCAGCGGCAGGAGCAACAGCTAATGCAGAGAAGAAAAGTCCTGCTGATTCAAAGCCAGTGGAAAGCAAACCCCAGTTGGCATCAGGGTTAGAGGACCTATTTAAAGACTCGCCACCAATTTCGCAGCCTTTGGCCCCACAAAAATCCCAGGCAACCGTAACAAATGACATTATGGGTCTCTTTGAAAAGGTGAGGCAATGACATTATTTCTAAAGAATTATATGGATGTATGCTTATCAACTATCCTCTTCGGTTTGTGTTTACTAATTATTACTATAGGTTGGCAGCTTACTTAACAAAGTAAGCTGTTGCTCACGTGGCAGCCTAACTGTAAAGAAATTGGTTTGTAGCATAGGGCTTTTTGCATTTTAGCCCATTTATTATTGCAAGTAGAAGTCCTAAACCCGATGCAATGCAACACCCAAGTTAGTGAGGGGTTTTATGATGCCTTTTCACCCTCTCTTCTCTCCACTCATCCCTTTCTCTTCTATTTCCTGCATTTTTTAATCAAGCTTCAACCAAAAAATATGATCTAAAGAAATAGCAACAATTAAAAGACAATCACGAGCTTACAGATCTAAATCCAGTCCAAATCACATCCGTTCAACTTATCTTAGTACTAATCAAGCTGGAGAATTTCGTGACATCTGATCTTGATGGTAGCTATTTTTTTCAAAAATCTTGATGCTCAATCATGTTTTGCTAGATTCATCATTTTTTTGCTCAAATTCCTTGTAGGTTCTTATGGTTGCAGTAATTCCTCGGAATTTTCAAATTTTCTCTGATGGTTTTGGGTAAATATAGAGATTCAATTTGATGAATATAGCTTAGTTCCATTCTATTTTTTTAATTTAAATAACATATATGTATTCCATCAGATAGAAGAAGGCGAAATCTGATCTTGATGGTATCAAAATTTTTCAAAAATCTTCTTTATGCTCTCAATCATTTTTTTTCTAGATTCTTCATTTTTTCCTCAATTTCCTTGTAGGTTCTTAACTTCTTATGGTTGCCGTAATTGCTCAGAATTTTCAAAATTTTTGAGATGGTTTTGGGTAAATTTAGAGACTCAATTTTGATGAATATAGATTAGTTCCATTCTAGTTTTTTTTAATCACATATATGTATTCCATCACCGTGGTACTTTGGATGTTACCACATTCAACTTTGGGCAAATGATGAACTATCATCCCTCTTGATGAATATAGTGATACTTATGTGCTAATTTGAACTTTGTGGCAATAATTACTTAGTGGATATATTATCCATGGATTTCTGTTACTTCAACACATACAAGTGCGTATTTAGTCTATACACCCATTAATTGCATGTAAAATCTCATCTAATTACCAATAGATTGTAACTACATCCCACTTTTTGTTACGAAAGTTTCTCCAATTTGTGATTACACTTATTGTATCTACTTTCCATAAATTAAAAAAAATAACATATGGAAAATGAAATTTCCCATCTCCCATAATCCCAATCGTAGATGAAAACAAGAGTGTGGAGCTGCGAGACGCAGTCGGGTGATGGCAAGTAGGACGATGGAGTTGATCAAGCAACTTGAGGAATATGAAGATGAAGTTCATTAGATGTAAATCCTCTTCATTTAGATTGGATTTATACCCATAAATTTATATTTGTTTGTCTCCTTGTTGCAAGTTTTTAAATCACTCTTATTGGTGAATTTTGATGAAGAAAACTGTAGAGAACATAAAGAGGAAATGAAATAGTGAAACGGTAGGGAAGAAAAAGTTAGAAGTGGGGGAAACTGGAAAGCGACCTGCTGCCTTGGAAGTTGTGCTCATTGAGTAATTGTACATCTCGTTGAAAAAAATGAAGGGGTTAAATGCAAGATATACCCCTTAGAGGCCCAGCCCTTGCGAGCCAGCTTGCTGCCACATCGGGGACAGCTTACTTTGTTAAGTAAGCTGTCAGCCTATTCGCGTTCTTCCCTTATTATTATTATTATTATTTGTGTGGTGTTTTGGGTGGGGGAGAGGGGGATGAATTACTGAGACACTTAATGGCACTCAATGAGTTATGCATGCACAGTCTAGACGTTGGTGGTTGTACCAGAACATGGAAATAATGCATCCAACCCGCATGACATAAAACAAAAAGACTCAAAAATTCCAATCATGTGCTCAAAGTAAAATAGGTTGAATACCCAGGGAGAAAGAAGGGAGAAGGCCTGAGTGGAAGAATTCTTCTTTTGGGAGGAGTAGGGAGGGCTTCGACTGCCTCATCGCACTTTCACTGCCTAGAAGATAGTTACTCTATATTAAAGCATTGTGCTCTATTCCCAGTCAGCTGCAGCATTGATCCCAACATGAAGTTGCTGACAATCTTACGTAGGCAGATGCAGAATACAATTTTATTAGAAATTATGACTATTTTATTATGTAGCTTTTAGGTTGGCTGCACAAATCCTTTTTCAATAGTCTTAAGGCCCATTTTCAGTTCCATGATAGCAAACGGAAAACGTTAATTTCAATATCATTGCCATGCTTTTATATATATATGGCTGTCTTTGTTAGATTTTTCTTTTTTCGTATCAGTTGTGTCTTTTGATCTGTTTATATTCTAATAGAAGCTGGTAAGCATGCCAATTCAGTTCCAGGTTGAAACCTGATTGTATTGCATTGTAATGCTCATAACGGGTCTTGAGATAATTAAATGTTACTTACAACTGTACTATATAGCATATTCCGAGTAATGTGTGCTGATGTCCATGAGTTCTGATTGAACCTGACTACCTGTTTGAGGCGGTTTATCTTGACTCGGTTAATGATTCTAGTAGACCAATTAATTTATCGTGTTGTTGTTCGGGAATCCCTTATTTCTGTTCCTGGGTTATATTGGAAGAATATGCACATTTGTTGACGTTGATGCTGTTGGTTCTGCAGTCCAATATGGTTTCACCATATGCTGTTCACCAGCAGCAGCTTGCATTCCTTTCCCAGCAGCAGGCTCTTCTCATGGCTGCAGCTAAATCTGGAGGGATTCCGCAAGCATTTCCTGCACAGACAAATGGCCCTCAATCATTTCCTATGCAAATAAATGGGATCGCTAGTTCCCATGTACCTAATGGAAGCACCCCAACCCAAAGCTGGCCAAATCTTGACTACCAAATTCGAGGAATGACACCAGTAATTGGGCAAAATGGCGCCCACAACTTCAATCAGGTGGTTCTTTAGAAAATTTAAAATGTCTGACCTTTTTTCTTTGGGTAGAAAAATGCTTAGTTTATCTTTTCTTTCCTTCTCTGGAGCAGTTAGGAAGCATCAAGCAGGGATATCCCAATATGGATTATGGCGCTTTTCCTACATCAGGGTAGGTTGTCCCCTTCTGTTTTTTTTAAAATTTTTGAATTGATGGTTGTCCTTTTGTTCATTAACTAGTATAGGGCACTCGAATTGCATGTGGTTATAATTGTTTTATGTTTAATTAGTTAGATTTCAATTAAATTTTCAACTAATGAGAATCTTTTGGATAAATATTAAATTAACTTTTCAATAGAAAATAAAATAAATAAGTTTTAATGTCCCTTGGACGTTAATATGAAGTCTTGTAGGTTCTAAGTAAAATGTTTATCATATCAACAACAACGAAAAAAAGAAAAATGCTTGTTTTTGCTTGAATTTTTAAATAGAAAAAAAAGAAAGATGCTTGTTTTTGATTAATTTTAAATAGAAAAAAAGAAAGATGCTTGTTTTTGCTTGAATTTTTAATCCAAAATTCATAGTTTAGCCTATAGAATAAAGTACATCAAAATTAAACTTCAAAGGTATTGGACCTCTTAGATTAAAGTCTACTAAAGTCAAAATTAGATTTTTATCAAAATAATAATAAAATTTTATTGGAACTGGCTTAGTAGTTGCACATCATTTTCCTACATTCCATCTCTAGTTTCGACTTAATTTGCATAATTTTCAAATAAGAATGTAATTGAAGTATTAAATTATTATTTAAAATATTATTTAAATTTATAATATTTTCTTTCTTTGGCATAGAAACTTCAAGTTTCTATGCCAATTTAATATAGCTATTATTGTCGTTTGCTTAACATGATTTACTTACATAAAACTCTATACTTGTTCTTATGCAGTAATGTTAGTTTCTAAAATAACTTAATGAGATATTTTTGTTTCTAGAGAAAGGTGAATTGCACTAAACATCCTTTGCTATAAAATTAACCATATTTGAGTCCTTCGATAATCCACGTGTTCTGGAGAATAATATAAAACTTCATAGTACTAAAGATAGTTCAATAGATAATTCATTTGAATTAATTCTCAAAATTCATTCATCATACTTCTGATAGAACAGTGACATTTATCTACTGAAACTAATAGATACCAGCAAGCAAATTGCTAAAGAGGTCACTACAAATTACCAAAAGAATGGGCACTTTGCACTTTGGTACCCTAAGTTTTATAGTTTTTTTAACTTTGGTACTGCAAAGTTTTTATTTGACACTTTGATACCCAAAGTTTCATATTTTTTGACTTTGATACCCAAAGCTTTTTCCCGGCACTTTGATACCCCAGAGTTTACATATTTTTTAACTTTGATACCTCAAAGTTGACATGTTTTTTAGTTTGGATACGCCAAAGTTTACGTACTTTTTAGTTTTATACCCCAAACTCTGATGTAGCAAAGTGTCCAAAACAAAAATTTGGGGGTATGAAAGTTAAGAAAAGTGTAAAAATTTAAGGATATCAAGGTGTTGGAATAAAATTTTGGGATATCAAAAGCTAAAAAAGGTGTGAACTTTGGGTTATCAACGTGTCGGGAGAAAACTTTGGTGTATCCAAGTAAATGGTGTAAACTTTAGGGTATCCAAGTGCAAATAACCCATAAAAAGAGTAAAAATGAAAACATGAAAATGTGTCACCTTAATTTTTTATCAAGGAGAACGAACAATTGTCGAATCCGTTCCAAATTAATGAGTTTAAGATTTTCTAAACTCTCCATCGGCCAACCACCTGCGAAGCAAGAGTCAACCAAAGCAGAGTACTAATTAGTCTTCTATTCCCTAAATAGTAAATACTACATCGCGGTCAGAATAAAGAAAAATAAACTAACTTGATAAAATTCTATCGTGTGAGAAGCCCCTCCTCTTTCTCTCAGAAACTTTTATAAACATTAAAATATTTTTTTAAGTTTAATTGATTTAAGTTTAAGTGATCAAGCTTGAAACGAAATTACGAAATTATAATAAAGTGAGAGCAATTTGAAGGGAAAACTTACTTTGTAATCAGAGTGAAATTCAATAGTTCCACACTTATCAACCAGTTATCCTTTACAGTCAGCCGCAAAGAAGACTATTGATGAGAATAATTGTAAGAACTAATAAAAAATATTTACTATCCTGAATTTCTACACCTAAAGTCATTCCCCAATCGCTTCTGCAACTTGGATCGATTCCTCAATGCGACGTGTAGCATCTTTGCATCAATTCCTCAATGTGACATGTAGCATCTTCGCTGAAGACTGTAATTGAATGAATTAATGCTCAAGCTAGTAGGTTGATATGAAAAGGAAAAGATTGCCTTCAAAAGAAGGAAAAAAAAAAGATGTGGGCTGAAGGTCCATTGAGTTGAGATTGTGAAGAAGAGGATTACCTATTAATTGATTAATTTCATAAAAGCTAAAACGTAACTGAAAGCTATGAAAGTTTGCTAGCTCATTTGGTGTTACCTAGAATTGGACCGATGAACGTTGTTGAATTATGTCCCTTGGAAAATAAAGATGAAGCCATACGGTTGAAAAGAAATGGACAGTGCATTTACTTGCTTTATATTTACCAACTAAATGGAAAGTTTGCTCTGAGCACTGAGAAAGCCATGTAAAAGGCATAGCTATTCCAACATATTAATAGATATTGTAATGATTATTTATTAATTATAAAGTGTACATTGCATGGAATTTAAAAGTTGCTAGCATATTAATTGAATGTAATTGTGGTGAATTGAATCTCATAAAATTTATATTTTATTATTATGAAAAATATTATGGATAATTATAGTAATTATGTATGTATGTATTAATTTATTTAGGTTAGGTATTTTTCTTTAAATGCTTATGTATGCATGTGTGTTTATGTGTTTATGTATGTATGTCGAAGGGCAATTTGGGGAGAAATGTTTTAACATCCCAATCCACTTTTATAATAGTATAAGACACATAAGATAGAATTCAGGATTTATTCTTTGCTTTGAAGGTTAGAGTCCAAACCATTCTTTGTATATTTCATATTTTGCGATTTGTACGTGAATGTTATGTAGTTTTAAGGTCAAAATTACAAAATCATCGTAGCCGAATCAGTTATGAGGATGTTATAATACACAAATTTGACTTATATGCATTATACTTATATGTAACTTGCATGTTAATGTTGGTGGATTGCAAGGTCAATGTTCCATAATTTTATACTTTGAATAACCTTATAGAATATGTTTCTATATATGTGGCTCTCTGCTGCACACAAATGACTATTGCAGACACAGTCAATTTTACTATAAACAGAAATATATTGCCGCATATAGCATGCACCTTTTTGCTTGTTAATTGCTGATTTGTATTAACTTAAGTTCAGAACTTCAGTCTTTACATTTTAATGTAGTTTTCATTAATCATTAGTGATAAATCAAAATGCTTATTAAATTGTTACTACTATGCAACACATGGACATTTAGACAATTTTCTGAGGTAATATGGATATTTATATTTCTACATTGTTTCATAAATTTTATGTTTTTTAAACTTCAAAAAATATCGTCAAATTTCATTTTCCCCCTCGTAAAAGCACAAGATGGCATATTCATATTGTGTTGTATGCGTTAACCTTTAAGGTTCTCGTGTTATTGTTTACTTTTTGGCATCCAAAGGTTGCTCAGTTCTTTTTTTTAACCAATTTACAGATTTAGCTAAGAAGATGTTAATTCAGTAGTCTTTCAGTACCTCTGTCTTTTTTTCCTTCCTTTTTTGTCACTTGTTTGAAGTTGCAAATCAAAAGTTAACTTGTGCAATACTCCATTAGAGGCTGTGTTCCTGTGGAAGAATTTTATAGGTTAAATTGTGTGATTTTTTTGCGTCTTTCTCATTGTTCCATTTTCTTTTTATTTGTCTATTCTATTGCACTTATAGTCCATTTTGCCAAAAAGCTCTGTATTTAATTCTTGTCTAAATTTCACAAAAACTACCATGAACTTTTTGGGGCTGTTTGGGAGAAAACTATTACACATTTTCACTAGAGAAAAAGTACACTGAACGCTGTCCACTAAACCAATCATGCTTAACGGTAGTTAAGATAAGTTGTCAAGTATTGTGCATGTGACATGTTTTGGATAATTTTGCCCCTATGTAGACACTAAACCCTGTCCACTAAACCAATCATGCTTAACGATAGTTAAGTTGTCTAGTGTTGTGCGTGTGACATGTTTTGGATAATTTCCCCCCTATGTATTTATATATCTCCAATATTGTCCTTGTGAATGTCGTGGATTGATAGCTAGAAATAAGGGTAGTAAGGCCTTTTATCTGGGATGTCAATGGCTTCAGCAACGACGCCCAAATGTTCATGTTATTTCTCTACAGTTCTGAAAATTTTTCGTAGTTCTCTTGTAAAAAGATTTACATCAGGTTCTGTGCAGAGCCCCCTAGATTTCATGGTATTTTCTTGGAATTCACCCCTTGATTTTTCTCAGACATAAGAAATAATAGAATCGTCATAAAAGTCTGTCATATATTCTGAACATACATTTTGTTGCAGCATGTACAGTACAGGATCACCTGTGCCCACCAATGGCGTGATTGCTGGAGGACCGAGCAGGTCCTCTGCATCTCCTGCCCCTTCGAGCACACCAAGCAAATCCGGCGGTGACTTTGATTTCTCTTCACTAACTCAGGGAATGTTCACCAAACGTTGAGGCCCGACCCCATTTCGTTTTGTTTGCAAAGGTTAAACAGTTCTCATCGTGTTTCTCTTCAGTTGTAAACCATTTATTGAGTCATTTCATGTTTCTTCTCCGTCTTTGTGCCTGAAATCAATAAAGACTGGTTCTGCTGGTTTTTGTTGGTGATGGATTAGTTGTATATACCTTGTTTGATTTTAATGAGAGCAATATGCTACGCATACTTTATTAAGTGGAAGGAAAAACTCTCATAAAGGAGAGTTAATAATACTAGATACTATTCATTAGTGCTATGTGAAAGTACTAGAGAAAGAAAATTACAGTGTGTCTGAAGTATATGATAATTTAAGAAAGAAAATGTGTGTTCGAAATAAAATCAGGGAAGTGGTGAACTGGCAGTGTGCTGCTATTGTTTGCGATTGCTCTGCTTATATATACTTTGATTGATTTAGTTAGTGGTAAAGTACTATTATGTTCTGCATTCATGTGAAGGTGGGAGGGCACCGCGTGAGGCTGTGAAGTTGTAATTGATTTTTGTGGGCCGGGTGAAGTTGTAGCTCACTTATCTGTTAGAGTGGAGGCACCGCTTGAGGCTGTGAAGCAGATCATCTCCACATACAGTTAAAAACAACACCGAAACTTCGACAAGAGATTCTTCGGTCAACACTCTAAGTGACGACCTTGCTTTCATTGGAGCTATTTTTTTAACTCACAAAAATCAGGTTTATTTTAATTTATTTATTTTTATCTAACTTTATTATATTTTAATGTAATTGTCAATATACTAACCTTATATTTAAAATTGAATTTAGTTTTAGTTCTTTATCGAATGGCTAGTGAACTCGTTCTATCAGAACTAGAAAAAATTAATAAATTTAATGGCAATAATTGATATGTGGCATAGAAAAATAAGATATGCTCTTATTCATGACAATATCGATGATGTAATTGAAACCACTGCTCCAACTCTTACTGATAAATCAACACCTGAAGAAAAGAAATGGTTTGAACAGTGGAAGTCGAAAGATAAAAAGACGAAAAGCCTTATGCTCATGTTCATGGAAGATAACTTAATCAAAGTTTTTGAAACTTATAAGACTTCCATGGACATGTGGAATGTAATAAAAGAGAAATACGACACCGCCTCTGAAGTTAACATTCAACTACTCTTGCATAAGTATAATTCTTGTCGTATGCAAGAGGGAGACCATGTCGTAGAGCATATTAACAAGATAATTATCATGACTAAGGATTTATCCACTGCTGGGACCGAAATCCTGAAAAGAATGAAAATGACAACCATTCTAAATAGTCTTCCCCTTCCCTTGCTGTGGCTGCCACCACATTAAGAATGAATCATGCCATTAAGTTTGTCACTGATCTTCCTATGCACCTAGTGATAGAACATGACTTAATAGCCAGTAGGAAAGAACCAGAACTGAATATAGTGCAGCATGAGCTGAATTATGCCCGCCAGAGGCATAATACTGGAAGCTATAAAAACACTGGTCCTAGTAAACCACAACCGTGAGGACCGAAGTCACAACAATTCAAGAAAAGAAAAGTACCCCGCGGAGCCTGCTACAATTATGAAAAGTTCGGGCATTTCAAGCCCAATTGCCCACAATGTGAAAAACAGGAGAATAAGGGAGGCTATAAGCATCCAGAACAAGGGGTACTAGGAAAAGAGAATTCATCGGTGTGACGGAATGTAATGCTGTAATGACGGATATCAATGGTTGGTGGATCAACTCAGGTGTGATTAGGCATATCGCAAAGGACAAGAATGAAGTCATAGAATTCACCGAGTTGAAGAAAAGAGAACATAGAATCTATATGGGAAATAATACCTATCTCAATATAGAAGGTATTGGTTTGTATAGATTGGATCTTGGGGAGCATTTTTGTCCTCAAACATGTGTTCTATGCGCTAGGAATCTGACGCAATCTGATCTCTGTTCCCAGCTTGATGAAGAAATAACTGGAAGTTAGGTTCTATAATAACAATGTTTCTATAGGCAAGAATAATAAAGTGTATGCTATGAAAAAATTTATGCCCGAGCATGAATTATGCATTCTTCCAGTAGTTTGTAATAATTCTGATAATGAAATTTTGAATTTGAACTACTTGTCATGTTATATTCCTGAGTCTGAATTATGGCATTCTAGACTAGGACATACTAGTATTTCAAAAATAAAAGAAATTATCAGAATGAACTTGCTTCCTACACTATTTAATGTTCAATTGCCACCATGTGAACATTGTTTAACTGATAAAATGATTAGAAAACCATTTATTGGCGGACAAAGAGCCAATGAACTTTTTTAGGGTTGATACACTCGAATATTTGTGGTCCCTTAAGTGTCAAAACTCATAGTAATAAAGAATATTTTATTACTTTTATAGATGATTATTCTAAGTTTACACACGTCTATCTTATATCCAAAAAATTATAAGCTTTTGACTACTTTAAGAGATATAAGACAGAAGTTGAAAACCAACTTGGATTGAAAATCAAAATTTTAAGAACTGATAGAGGTGGGGAATATAACTCTAAAGAATTTGAGAGTTATTGTATTCAGCATGGAATTAAAATGCATACAACAATGTTGTATACACCACAACAGAATGGTGTTGCTAAAAGAAAGAACAGAACATTACTGAATGTAGTTAGATATATGTTATCTCAATCTGGTCTCTCCAAAAACTTTTGGGGAGAAGTATTATTAACTACAAACTATATTTTAAATAGAATTCCCACCAAATCAGTTGTATCTACACCTTATGAATTATAGAATGAGAGAAAACCTAATTTGAGTCATCTCAGGAAGTGTGGATCTATAGCCCATGCTCTCATTCCTTGTCAAGTTAGAGATAAGTTGGATTTTAAAACAATAAAATATAGATTCATAGGGTATTCAGAAAAGTCAAAATGTTATAAGTTCTACAATAAAGAAAAAAGAGTCATCGAAAGCAGAGATGCTACATTTCTAGATAATCTAGAGGAAGAGGAACAAGTTCGAGAGGAAACAGAACCTCTAACTGTAATAGATGATGATTATTGCAGTGTTATTCCTACCAATGACCCTAATATTATGAATGAACCTAACCTCAAAAATGATGAAATACCTATGGAAAATAATCAACCGGTTGTAGGCAACAAAAGGCTAAGAACACAACCTTCATGGATGAATGATTACTATTTGTATTCATGTGAGCCATCTTGTTTCTCAGTAGATACAAATATAGAAGAACAAGATCCCTTAACCTTTCTAATGCGATGAAATCGCATGAATCAGCTTTATGGCTAGAATCTATGAGAGAAGAACTTGATTCTATAGGAAAGAATAAGGTATGTGAGTTATGTGATCTACCAGAAAATAAAAAACCATAGGATGCAAATGGGTTCTCAAAAAGAAATATCGTATTTTGATGGATCTATTGATAAATTCGAAGCACAGTTAGTTGTCAAGAGTTACAACCAGAAGGCAGGAATAGATTTTCACGAGACGTATTCTCCTGTAGCTAAATTTGCATCCATTAGAATTATTTTGGCTATTGTTGCATATCTTGATTTGGACTTATTCCAAATGGATGTTAAAACAGCATTCCTTAACGGAGAGTTGAAGGAAGCGATATATATACAACAACCTGAAGGTTTTCAGGTGAAAGGACAGGAATATAAAATTTACAAATTAATAAAATCTCTATATGGTTTAAAACAGTCTTCTAGGCAATGGTATCTCAAATTTCATGATGCAGTCACTAAACTTGGTTTTATCCTAAATAAATTATATAATTGTGTATATATCTTGAAAAGTGGGAGTAAATTTACTATATTATTCTTATATGCGGATGATATATTGCTCGCTGGAAATGATATAGAAATGTTGAATAAAATCAAGGCAGGTCTCAACGAAAAGTTTGAAATGAAAGACATGAGAGATGCATCATATATTCTTGGAATTCAAATAATTCGAGATAGAAAGTCTAGAATGCTAAGTTTAAACCAAGAAAAATATTTAAGATCAGTTCTTAAAAGGTTTGTTGGAATGGAGAGTTCCAATCTGACACCAACTCCATTGGTTATGGGAAAGAGATTATGTAAAGAGCAAAGCCTTGGAGAGGGCAGACGCCATTAGATGTTCTTTATGCTCAAGCAATTGGAAGCTTAATATATGCAATGTTGTACACCAGACCTTATATAACTTATGATGTGAGTCTAGTCAGTCGATATCAAAGTTATCTAGGACCAGCACATTGGGAATTTGTTAAAAGGATTATGAAGTATATCATAGGTACATTGACTCATAGATTAGTTTATCAAGCCTACTCGTTTGAACTCCTCGGTTATTCCAATACTAATTCGGAGGTGATAAAGATGATGAAAACACTTCAAGACACTTATTCATCTTTGGAGGAGGAGTTGTTTCTTAGAGTAGCAAGAAACAAGGGTGTGTTGCTAGATATACGTAAGGAGCTGAATATATAGCTTGCAGTATGACAACTACACATGCTGTCTGGATAAGACGGTTTTTGATTGATCTACAACTACACATGCTGTCTGGATAAGACGGTTTTTGATTGATCTTGATCTCAATTTGCTAGAAGGACCTATTGATATTTATTGTGATAATCAAGCAGCGGTTTTTGATTGATCTTGATCTCAATTTGCTAGAAGGACCTATTGATATTTATTGTGATAATCAAGCAGCAATTAACTTAATCAATAGTGGCGTGAATAGCTCCAAAGAAAAATATATTGAGATCCAGTATCACTATATTCGAGATATTGTAGAAAATGGAGAAGTCAAAGTGACTTGTATCCCTACTATAGATATGGTTGCTGATCCTTTGACAAAAAGAATACTAACAAAATCTTTTATCAAACATGTAAATTTGATAAGACTTAGGAATAAATAAGCCTGAGTAAAATTTTATGAATAATGAAATAAGAGTTACTCTCTACGGATAGTTGGAGTAATGGTAATGAGAAACATCTGATCTCATGGATAGTGTGAGGCATATCACTTGGTTGATTTGGTCAAGTGGGAGATGCTACTTTGAATCGGTCTTCAGTGATCAAATCAACGTTCGTTTCTCTGTTGAGAAGAACGTGGAAACGTGAGTTTGTTGAGAGAATCTCTCTCAAGGGGCAGATCTGAGGGGGATGGAGATAATGAGTTTAGGCCCTATAAATGGAGGACTAATCTCATTGAGAATATACAATGAAAAAGAAAGAAATCAAACTCCTTACCCATTACCGGAGCCCCCCTCAAAGAAATCCATAGCTCTTCTTTGCAATCAAGCATGATGCACTAGACTTTCTCCTGAACAGAAGTACGTGTTTTACTATTCTGAAGAAAGAAAAAAAGAAATGTTCAAAGTAAATCAATA